TTCTTGCGCCAGTTTTCGTTGTTCTTTCTTCTTCTTGAGCTTCTCTTCTGTTTGCTTCAATTTGTCGGATTCAGCTTTATTTAATCTTTCGACTTCTTCCTTTCTTTTACGTTCTTCTTCCTCTTGCTTCAACCTCTCGGCTTCCTCCTTCTTCTTAGTCACGGCCTCTTTCTCGCGTTTCTCTTCTACTAGTTTTAAGTTCTCTTCTTCTATCTTCTTCCTTCGATCTTCTTCTTCTTGTTTTGTTTTCTCGGCCTCTGCTTCCTTTTTCCTGTCATCTTCTTCCTTTTTCTTAGAGTCTGCCTCTGTCTTAGGTTTTCCCTCTTCTTGCTTCAGCTTTTCTTCTTTTGATCTTTTCTTCAGTTTTTCTTCTTTCTGCTTCTGCTTCTCAGATTCCTCGTCCTTGCGTTTTTGTTCTTCGTTCAGTTTCTTAGATTCCTCAACTTTCTTACGGTCTTCTTCCTCTTTCAGTTTTATAGCTTCCTCTGCTTGTTTGCGTTTTTCATCTTCTTGTTTCAGTTTCTCGGCTTCCTCCTTCTTGAGTTCTTCTTCTTCTTTCGCCTTTTTGGCTTCGTCTTCTTGCTTACGTTTCTCTTCTTCCTTTAGTTCCTTAGCCTCCTCTTCCTGCTTACGTTTTTCCTCTTCTTGCTGCAATTTTTCAGCTTCCTCTTTCTTTTTACGTTCATCTTCTTCTTTTGGTTTCTTAAACTCCTCCTTTTGTTTCAGTTTTTCAGCTTCTGCTTTTTTCTTACGTTTTTCTTTTCCTTTTAGAGTTTTGGACTCCTCTTCTTGTTTACGTTTTTCGTCCTCCTGCTTGAGTGTTTCAGCTTCTTCTTTCTTCTGACGTTCCTCCTCTAGCCTCAGTTTCTCATCCTGTTCCTTCTTTTTGCGTTCCTCCTCTTGCTGTAGTTTTTTAGCTTCTTCTTTCTTCTTAAGCTCTTCCTCTTGTTTCAGATTTTCAGCCTCTTCCTTTTTCTTGCGCTCTTCATCCAGCTTTAATTTTTCAGCTTCTTCCTTCTTCTTACGATCTTCTTCTAGCTTCAATTTCTCAGCCTCTTCCTTCTTCTTGCGTTCATCATCCAGCTTTAATTTTTCAGCTTCTTCCTTCTTCTTACGATCTTCTTCTAGCTTCAATTTTTCAGCCTCTTCCTTCTTCTTGCGTTCATCATCCAGCTTCAATTTTTCGGCTTCTTCCTTCATCTTAAGTTCTTCTTCCTCCTTTAGTTTCCTAGCCTCATTTTCCTGCTTACGTTTTTCTACCTGTAGCTTAAGCTTCTCAGCTTCTTCTTTCTTCAGACGTTCCTCCTCC